AAAGAAAGGAAAGATAAGTGAGTGTGATACAATGGTGTTGTTCAACAGTTTGGAATATTTTGATTTATTTTGAAGTTACTTGGAGTGACTAACAAAAGAATGGGCTAAGGATAATCTGCAACCCTCCGAGGTACCTTATGAACTTTGAATCAGGTAGAAGGTACTCTCGTAACTCTGAGTGACCAGCCCGGGGCAGAATAATCCCCTCACTCAGATGAAGGAATGGGTAGTCCACCCCACCTTCATAGTTAGGGAAAGAAAGGAAAGATAAGTGAGTGTGATACAATGGTGTTGTTAAACAATTTGGAAAATTTTGATTTATTTTGAAGTTACTTGGAGTGACTAACAAAAGAATGGGCTAAGGATAATCTGCAACCCTCCGAGGTACCTTTGAATCAGATAGAAGGTACTCTCGTAACTCTGAATGACCAGCCCGGGGCAGAATAATCCCCTCACTCAGATGAAGGAATGGGTAGTCCACCCCACCTTCATAGTTAGGGAAAGAAAGGAAAGATAAGTGAGTGTGATACAATGGTGTTGTTGCACAGTTTGGAATATTTTGATTTATTTTGAAGTTACTTGGAGTGACTAACAAAAGAATGGGCTAAGGATAATCTGCAACCCTCCGAGGTACCTTTGAATCAGATAGAAGGTACTCTCGTAACTCTGAGTGACCAGCCCGGGGCAGAATAATCCCCTCACTCAGATGAAGGAATGGGTAGTCCACCCCACCTTCATAGTTAGGGAAAGAAAGGAAAGGATAAGTGAGTGTGATACAATGGTGTTGTTCAACAGTTTGGAATATTTTGATTTATTTTGAAGTTACTTGGAGTGACTAACAAAAGAATGGGCTAAGGATAATCTGCAACCCTCTGAGGTACCTTATGAACTTTGAATCAGATAGAAGGTACTCTCGTAACTCTGAGTGACCAGCCCGGGGCAGAATAATCCCCTCACTCAGATGAAGGAATGGGTAGTCCACCCCACCTTCATAGTTAGGGAAAGAAAGGAAAGATAAGTGAGTGTGATACAATGGTGTTGTTAAACAATTTGGAATATTTAGATTTATTTTGAAGTTACTTGGAGTGACTAACAAAAGAATGGGCTAAGGATAATCTGCAACACAACTGGTGAACTTCTGAGGTGTTCAATTATGTTATGGCCTATTGAAAAAAAAAAACTAAAAAAAAAAAAAAAACTAAAAAACAAACTTAAAACAGGCAGAAAAAACTCAAGAAAACTAAAAAAATAAAAAATAGTATTTAAAAAAAACTTAAAAAAAAATTAAAACAGGCAGAAAAAAGCTAAAGAAAACTAAAAAAGAGAAAGAATAGTATAAACAAAATAAAAAAACTGAAAGAAAAGTATATCTGAAAAAAACACTTTAAAATATATATATACAACACAAAAAAACTAAAATAAACTTTAAACATGCAGAAAAAAAATTAAGAAAAGTAAAAAAGAGAAAGAATAGTATAAACAAAATAACAAAAACAGAAAGAAAAGTATTTCTGAAAAAAAAACCTAAATATACATATATATATATATATATAACAAAAAAACAAAAACAAAAAACAGAAAGAAAAGTATACCTGAAAAAAAAAAAAATATATATATATATATATATACATATATATAACAAAAAACTAAAAAAATTTTTTAAAAAAGACTTAAAACAGGCAGAAAAAAAAAACAAAAGAAAACTAAAAAAAAGAAAAAGAATAGTTTTTCTAAAAAAAACTAAAAAAAAAAACTTAAAACAGGCAGAAAAATAAAAAAAGAACTATAGGAAACTACAAAAAAGAAAAGTATTTCTGAAAAAAAAAAAAAAAAACACCCTAAACCGGGTGTTTTGCACAGAAAAAAAAACCCTTGTGGTTTTTCCCTCCCATGTGAGGGTTTTTTCCCCTCCTTGAGCTACCACCTTACCGTGGTGGAGGGGTTTGTGTGTCCCAATGATCCCAGGAGCTATGTTGTCAGGGCTTTATGCCTCTGAAAGGTCACCTAAGGCAAACAGGTCCTGGGGGAGGGACCAGACTAAGAGTAGCTCATCCAGACAGAGGTGCCAGGAAAAAAAAAAGGAAAAAAAAAAAACTGAAGAAAAAAAAAACTAAAGAAAACATCATGTCATTGCATTGCTCTGGAGGTACGGAGTGACAACGGCGGACATTCAGTGCAGACCTCTTCTGACAGTTCGCCTCAGAGTGGGGTTTTGTTCACACGACCTCCAGCCCCAGATATCTGCAATGCAATGGGGAGGTTGAAAAAGCAGTAAGAACTGTGAAGGACCTCCTGAAAAAATGCGCTGACCCATACATGGCCCTCATGACATATCGGGCCACTCCGCTTGCCACTTGCTGATGGGGAGAAAGCTACGTACGACAGAAGAAGTGGTGGATTTTGTCATTTAGAGTTCATAATATCATTCAAACATTCAGTCTGTAATTTTCAGGCCTTCAACAAGAAAAACAGACAAGACTCTGTAGTGGAAGTCACCGCATCCCTTCTATAACCACAGTCAGTGAACACGGTGTCTGTTTATTTAATAAAATATACAATTTAAAGAGATTTATCAACATTTTACACAGCTTCAGAAAACTCTTCAAGGATTAAGGTTGTAATCATGAAAGATGTTCATCGTGCAATGTTTGGAAAATCATTTATTTTACAGAATCTCTGTTAAACTGATTTTCATTGTTCACTTTTTTAAACTGTATTTAATCATCTTGTGTTTCTCTTACATCTTGGTGTACATATTGCTATTAATATCTATTAAGGAGGTTTTTAAAATGTCCTGTTTGGCTTTATAAAAATCTGTACACACAGTTAAACTTTGGATGGTTGACAATAAAAAAATGCATAAATACGTTTGTCTTTGATTAATAACTTGATTTATCCTCATCGCTTTTAAATGGGTATCTTGAAACAGATGCTACAACATATCCAGAAAAAAACTGCTAATTGATAATACCTAAAACAGACCTGAAATATCTGTGTCACAGGCCCTGCCCACAAGGAAAGAAATTCTGAGTAAATGCAAAAGTTTTTTGTCTTAGTTGCCTTTTATCCGCACAAAAACAGCAATTCAGCTGACTGTAGACAATACTTTTTAAAATCAGTCCCAGTGTGCATAAATCCTTGTACGGCTACTGTTTTGTTTCCGTGTGGACAAGACCACAGAGGCTGAGAGGGACCTAAAAAAAAGCTTCAGTAACCCTGATGCCAGGGTTTTTGAGTGCCCTAATTAGGGCTGGGAAGAATGGGGAAAAATTTTATCATGATATATTTTTTCATATCAGTCGATATCGATATATATCATGCAGCGGCGCCATGAAAAAAAAACATTTTTTTACATACACATAAACATGGCCTGTATTCACACCTTCATCTTTATTAAATTACACTTTTATTCTCATAAGATCATGATATTTTAAAGTTTGAATAATCTCCAACATGTTATGACCTTACTACACTCAGCCAGCAGGGGGAGCTCCCAACATTTTGGCTTCACTTTAGAGGCAACACAATGTCAACTATCTTTTACAGTTTTTTACAATTGGCCTAACACAGACTCTGATACTTCTGACACATTTCCAAAACTGCTCACACACCAACACACCTACAACACACAACTGACAAACCAGCTGACTTCACTCTCAAAAGCTAACACTGTAAACTGAACACCTACACTAGTTTTCAAAATGCAAGAATACACCAACACTATACAGCAGATCAACCAAACACTAACACTAATTCTCTTCCACCAGAAACCTGTAGTCAGTCAGATGACACTGTCATTCAGTTGTATTCATTCTTTTGTAAGTTTTTTAAAGTGCCATTTCTTATAGACTTCTTACAGGTATGTCTGTTTTTTTCCTTGTAGTAGAGTTAGATGCATAAAATGTTTCTTCATAGCAAACATTCAGTGAAAATAAGTTTATGGATAAAGACAGTCACAACTGTAATGGAATTGTTGCAAACACTTTATTTATGTCATAAATTCTGCAAGACTGCAAGAAAAAACAAATCAGTGTGGATACCCTAATCTGCCCGGTCTTCTGCAGTAGGCCATATGGCCTCATCAACATTACACAGGACCAACTCCTTTCCCTTTACCAACTCTTTTTCGTTCTGCCATTCTCTATTGTCTTGTTTCTTCAGACCCAAACTGACACACCACACCAAACTTTATATGTATTAGCTATGATTGTACTCAGCTGTGACTTCAATTAATTGACCAATTTACATCAGGTGCTTTTAATGACAATAAGAAAATCAAGTGATAATTTACTGTCTTTGAATCCATAAAGTGAACTGCTTCTCATTTCAACTTTAGCCTGTTGATTACATTTAGAACACAAGATTATCTGTTCTGACATACTGTGTGAAAGCATTTGTAAATTTTGGTAGGACTTGTTTGTTAAAAAATATTCAAACATTTTGTAAATGTGTCCACTGTATGCAGTTTGTGTCAGACAAACAAGAAATGTTTTAATTGTATAGGCTACACTGGCTGATGTTGTGCAAACTGTGTGAAGAGTTTTAGAAATGTGTCAGAGGTATTTTTGGAATTTGTGTTAGGACGACTACCTGTAAGACTGAACATGATGTTGGACAGTGATATTTGTAAAGTGAGGTAAAGGAGGAGTTTGTGTAGTGACAACACAATCACACTGTGTCCAAAAATAATAACCTGTTCAACAAAATATTGTCATTTAGTTGGAGTATGAGAAGAGGAGTGCTCATATGGTAGTTTGTAGGTTTGACCAGCAGGTGGTGCTGCATTAACTTCAAATTATCAACTGAGACTCAACCAAACAAGTTTCTGTTTTTGTGAATTTCATTTAAATTTGGACTCAGGAGAGGAAGATGATTGTCAAGAACACTGAATTAAAAGATGATCAAAAACTGTCTGTAAATGACAGGGGGAGAAGAATCTGTGATCTGGCGGTTTAGGTTTTGAGAAAAGAGTCAAAGTGAAAGTGAAAGTATGTGAGCTAAAAACAGACTCAATTTTGAGATAAGAACAGAGCAGAGAGAGGAGAGGACGAGGAGACAGGGTGAGTGTTTACTCAGGGTTTTTGCTTTAATGTCAAACTCTTCATCTGTATTATCATCTGTTAACGAAAAATGATTTACTGGCTAATGCACTCACAAACTGCAAAGCAAAGAAACCTGACAAGACAAATAGCTCGATCAGTTCTTGATACAGGAAACTGCGTACCTGCAGTTCTTCCTCTTTTTTTATACACTTGTCTTTTTAGTAACAACAAAAATGAGAATCTTTTAATTTAGTGTCTCATTTTGAATCTAATCCAGTCCCCTTAATTTTTTATGAAAGTTCAGGGACCTCATAGCTTTTTTTGTTTTGTCCATGAATCAGATAAGGAGCCGAGAGAGGCCCTGCAGGGTAGGGAAACATCATATGTAATTCAGTTAAAAAAAACAAAAAAAAACTCCTGTTTCTTACACTGGTGTATTAGAAATTATTATTTCTGCCTCCTCCTAGCTGCTGTCCCTTTGAGCCCACTCAGCCTACTTTAATTTCTGAACACTCTTTTCCTGTTTGTGTCTCACCTGTTTGTTTACTACACCACATTCTCAGTGCAGCCAAAACCGTCAAATTTCTTTTCCTTTCTGTTTGAACCAGAGACATTCAGCTCTTACAGTAAATAACTGTGAAGAGTCAAATTAAACTCCAAATCAGCTATGTTTTTCTATTAACAAAAAGAATAAAATAGATAAAAAAGAAGAATCAGTCAAGAATAAAACAATAAATTAACATTAACAATACTGAATAATAGTGATTTTTAAGGAATGTGAATTTCAGACTCTTTGACCTGATCATACTAGACTGGATAAGAAATAACCAATCAGGACCTTTATGATTAAAATAAGATATAGTATGCAGACAGATTTTTGACATGATGAGCTGTAGAAACTTTATCATCTTCATCTTCACACTCTTTTCCTGTTTGTGTCTCACCTGGTTGTCTACTTTGTCCTCAGGCTGTATAACTCAGTTTTATCTTCAATAAATTTCCACTACATCAGATGGAGAACATGAATGATTCTGTCGAGGAAGAGGAGGGCAGAGCAAAGTCTGTCATGTCCAGCTGTCTGTCTATGAAGAGTGATCGGTCTAAAGGTCTTGATGTGGTCTTCAGTAAAGAACCAGGACCCTCAGAGGAGGGCAGAGCAAAGTCTGTCATGTCCAGCTGTCTGTCTATGGAGAGTGACCGGTCTAAAGGTCTTGATGTCGTCTTCAGCAAAGGACCAGTACCCTCAGAAGGACAGTAAGAGAAATACTCTTTAACCTCCAAACTGTCAAACAGTAATTTATGATGCTCTAAATTCTGACCCCTCCGTTTTATACCATGGTGAGAAAATGATCTCCTCTGCTCTCAAAAGGTGATTTTCCTGTTTAACCTGCCAACCTGGAGAAAGTAAAGAAAAAGTCACTGAGCACATGTTGACTTTTTATTCCCAATGTTGATAAAAATGAAGGGTGTATAAAACAGCATTTGAACAGGATTCTGACCTCCGTATTTTCTGATTTGGTTCCTGTGTTTGAAGCGTTTTGAGCCTGTAAGTCTTTAGACTGTGGTGTATAGGCCCCAGAAAACAGTCTGTGGGTCACAAAATACCAGAAAACCGATGAAGAAATAAATCCTGAGAAATGGAAACTAATACAGAGCATCTGTTTGTTATTAGACCTTTAGATCTGATTGGTTAAAAAAAATGTTTTTAATTGTCGAAGAAAATTTCCCTAACCTCAAAAAACAACAACAATCCCAGCTTAGTTTTTTCTCCTGTCGCGATACTGTCAGGCAGCAGCAGCTGAATATTTTACAGGAGATTATTTATGTTAAAGAAATGAGTGAGATCGGAAACTCTGGTTTAATAAATGCTTCTTATTCTGCATCTTTCAAACATGAAATGATAATGATAAAGAAAATAAATGTTCTTTATTTCCACAGAGAGACAGAGAGATTTGACTCTGTGGAGGGGAAGCTGTCCAGCTTTGATGGAAGTAAGTCTGAACATCTGTCCTCTAAAGTCTTCGGGGATGAAAACACAGCTGAATCTTTTTTATCACAAAGATGTTTTGTGTTGAGCAGTTTGGTTCATTTAATTTTTCTTCTCTTGCAGCAGATCGTGGTCTGCAGGAGGTTTTAGATGAACATAAGATCAGTCTGAAGAGGAGATGTGAACGTATGAATGAAGGAAGTGATGAAGCAGGAAGTAGTCAAACCCTCCTGAACAGGATCTACACTGAGCTCTACATCACAGAGGGACTGAGTGAGAAGGTGAACACCCAACATGAGGTGAGACAGCTGGAGACAGTTTCAAAGATGAAGACCCTCCATGACACAACCATCAAGTGTCATGAAATCTTTAGAGTCTTACCAGGTCGACAGGAAGTCGTCAGAGTGGTTTTGACCAACGGCGTGGCTGGTGTTGGAAAAACCTTCTCAGTGCAGAAGTTCACTCTGGACTGGTCAGAGGGCTTGGAGAACCAAGACCTCAATCTGGTGATCCTGCTTTCATTCAGAGAGCTGAACCTGATCAGAGATGAGCCCTACAGTCTTCTGAGTCTGCTCCATGTTTTCCATCCAACACTAAAGAAGATCACAGCAGAGATGCTGGCTGTCTGTAAACTTCTGTTCATCTTTGACGGTCTGGATGAAAGCAGACTGTCTCTGGATTTCACAGACTCTGAGGTCGTGTCTGACGTCACACGGGAGTCTTCACTTAACGTGCTGTTAACAAACCTCATCAAAGGGAACCTGCTCCCCTCAGCTCTCATCTGGATAACTTCTCGACCTGCAGCAGCCAATCAGATCCCTCCTTCATGTGTGGACAGGGTAACAGAAATACGAGGCTTCACTGACGCCCAGAAGGAGGAGTACCTCAGGAAGAGGTTCAGTGATGAAGATCTGTCCAGAAGAATCATCTCACACATCAAGTCCTCCAGGAGCCTCCACATCATGTGCCAGATCCCGGTCTTCTGCTGGATCACTGCTACAGTTCTGGAGGACATGATGAGCAGAGAGCCGAGAGGAGATCTGCCCAAGACCCTGACTGACATGTACTCACACTTCCTGCTGATCCAGACTAAGAGGAAGAAGCAGAAATATGAAAGTGAGACAAGTCCTCTGGAGCTGACGGAGGCTGACAGTGAAGTCCTCCTGAAGCTGGGGAAGCTGGCCTTTGAACATCTGGAGAAAGGCAACATCATGTTCTACCAAGAAGACCTGGAGCGGTGTGGTCTGGATGTCACAGAGGCCTCAGTGTACTCAGGAGTTTGTACAGAGATCTTCAGAAGAGAGAGTGTGATCTTTCAGAAAACAGTTTACTGTTTTGTTCATCTGAGCGTTCAGGAGTTTCTGGCTGCAGCTCATGTATTCCACTGTTACTTCACAAACCCAGGGTTAGTTTTGATTGGAAAGCCATCTCTGGATGTCTACCTGAAGAGTATCATGGAGAAATCCCTTGTCAGTAAAAACGGCCACCTGGAACTGTTGGTTCGCTTCCTTCATGGACTCTCTTTGGAGTCAAACCAGAGACTCTTAGGAGGTCTACTGGGTCACACAGACAACAGTCCAGAAATGATCCAAAGAGTCATCAACAACCTGAAGGAAATGAACAGTGAAGATATCTCTCCTGACAGAAGCATCAACATCTTTCACTGTCTGATGGAGATGAACGATCTGTCAGTTCATCAGGAGATCCTAGAGTTCCTGAAGTCAGAGAGCAGATCAACGAAGGAACTCTCAAAGATCCACTGCTCTGCTCTGGCCCACATGCTGCAGATGTCAGAGGAGGTTCTGGATGAGTTGGACTTCGATAAGTATAACACATCAGCCCAGGGACGACTGAGACTGATCCCAGCTGTGAGGAACTGCAGAAAGGCTCGGTGAGTCCAGGTTTTATTCTCAAAATAGTGTAAATCAGCCCTGTAGTTCTTCCAATGTCCATGTTACTGATGATGTTCTTCTTCAAATAGAAATCTGCTGAAATATCAGGGAGGGGGTTTCTTTTCCTACTTGTGGACCCCTGAGAACTTATCATAATTGTGGAGGACCTCTTTGTTTTTAATCCAGTTTAATTGACCATGTCTGTAATGAATAAAGTAGAAATTTCAGGACAAATCAGCGACCATATCTGAGGACACACAGAGGTCTTCTGATGATATCAGTCCAGTCCAAATCAACATCTCAATAAATCATGGTGAACTCGAGTTTGAAGAAGGTGGCTGCAGCTTTTTCCCTGCTGGTTTTCAGGTTTCAGAAGAAGAAGAAGAAGAACTTTATTGATCCCCGAAGGGAAATTAGAAATGATGAATCCGTTGTAAATGAGGGTGTTGACAGCATTCATGTCTCTTTACCATAATGTTAATCATTCAATAGTAATAATCAATACAACAATAAAAACTAACATCATTTTCCACCACTCATTGGATATTATACGGTGGACTATTTCATATGCATGATGAGAGCACATGAAGAGCGCTCTCTCTCTTTCCCCTCGGTGCTGCAGGTTGGCACTGACACTCTGCCTCATAACACCTCATAGTATGTTGAAACAGCCGTGCTCTTCCACTGTATGGACACCATGGGCTCTATTTTTGTGTACGCCGATGAGGCAGCGGAGGGTGGCGGACCCCGCGCAGTTGTATTTTCATCTGGCGGAGCCAGGCGTACAGCCAGTTTGGTATTTTCATGGACTGAGGCGCACGGAGGCGAACCGAGATCTGCCAAGCGGGGCGTGGTGGCGTGGCAGGGGGAGGTGTCGACAGAATCAGCGGGCGCAGTGACATTTTCGTGCTCACCAGTGGCGTGTAAAGTGCGCTGAAAGCTCGCTGATTCAAACCTGGTCAGCCTTCAGCGCATGGCGGAGCGCAGCTGGTCTAGTGGTATTTTGGTAGACCGGCGGCGTATCAGCATTCATCACCGATGCCTCACAGGCAGGTTTCCACAGTGTCAGGCACATTTCAGTGCAATAAAGAATCATCAACAACTATTAACCTGAGTCAGTACATACATTTAGATCTATATAGGTATATTCTGATCTATATCTGATCTGATGAGCACTTTTGGCACGCGTTTGGACACACTACCTGAACAAATGAACACAGCTGAAACCGCATTAAATTAGATTAAATATCTAGTAAATAAACACACATAATGAAGTTAAAGATATTTAATTTGTCCCCCTCCCTTTCTTTCTTCCTCTTCCTCTTATTTCTCATGCAGCTCGACCTGGACATGTCTCTGTGTCCTCTCTCGGTCCTGCTGCAGCTGCTGCTGCGGTGGCTGAACAGATGATTTGTTTCAGTGATCAGATGAGTTTTTTACTTTAAGCCTACATACAGATATTATAATATTCAGTTTTGTGAGCCAAATTTATTTTATATGGCAACATCTATGAAAGAAAGAGCCCGGGCCAAGAGCGCGATTCGTCATTTACGCACAGATGGTTCCGATTTTAATGCCATTTTTGGAATTTATGATGTGATCTGTGCGCACAACCCACCTTTGTCACGTGAGGTTTGAATATGTGCAACTTTATGTGAGTTTCTTTATTTGTGGAAAAGGGTGTTTGTCTTACTAGTGGGTCCAACATTACACACAGCAAATCCATCTATGCTCATATGAGAGAGTGTGGAGGACGCCCTCTGCAGCGCTTACAGCGACACTTGTTGAGGGGCTGCCTTCTGTCGCCATCATGTGGCATTGCTGTCTTCAGCCATCTCTTGATCTCTTTGACTACTTCATGAAAATTGTAATACGCCTTGCCGGTGGCGGATTTAAAGGCAAGGAGAGGAGCTGATGTTATTGGTCAATACAGGTCTCGGCTGTGTTAAACCCACTCCATGCCCTCTCTCCTCCCTCGCTACGACTTACGCCGCTGGGAGGAGCTGAGTTAGGGAGGGGGGATACTAACGCCGGGCTGCGCAGCTCACCAAAATACCAAATTGTGCTTGGGCACGCCTTGTTGGTGTGGCGGACCTGACTTACGCTGGGCCTACGCCGTGCTGCCAAGGCACGAAAATAGAGCCCATGGAGTCATTTGTCTTGAACATCTTAACGGTCAATTTTCTTTTTAACTTTGACTTCCTGTCTTCTCTCATGGCTTTGGTCCTGATATTAGTAGCTGGCTGGTTAAAAACAGGCTGTCTTTCAAACCAAAGATAATGTTTGAGTTACTTTTGGTGAAGAGACACATAAAATGACTCTTCCATTAAATATTGTGTGATATTTATGTTGTTACAGACTTTCTAACTGTGAACTCTCAGAGATTCACTGTGAAGTTGTGGCCTCAGCTCTGAAGTCCAACCCCTCGCATCTGAGACATCTGGACCTTAGCGGAAACAAACTGCAGGATTCAGGAGTGAAGCTTCTCTCTGTAGGACTGGAGAGTCCAAACTGCAGACTGGAGACTCTCAAGTCAGACATCATTTCCTTCTGATCTAACAATAAGATGTGACAGTTTCTGCCTTAGATTTTTGTTCTCTGTGGTTTTTCCATCAACTTTGGTCAAGCAGTTTGAATTTGTAGTTGTAAAACTTCAGCACAAGTAGAAAAATCTGACATTTCAGAGTTGACTTTGAGGAGAACGATGGATGTAGAAAGGAAGCAGGAGAAAATCAGTCACACAAATATTACACATGCTTGTAGAGGGCAGAAGCAGCACAGACTAAAGGCTGATATTGAACTGATCCACAGTTAATGTGATTACTAATGAATGAATGAAGTGTCAGAGAAACGATGAGCTGCAGATTTAAACCTGAAGAACAAAGTTAATCCAACTCTAAATATTTTATTTTGAAACTCTTAAAAACTTAAATCTCTTCTTTGCTCAGTTGTGTTCAAATGTAAATACCAGATCCAGATTTTTCTGCAGTTTTCACTTCAGTTTGTTGAACATTAACATCATCTTGTCCAGTTGGTTCATAAAAACCTCTCTGATAAATGATCTGTTGGTTTATTTACAAGTAGTTTGGCAGTTGTTGACAGCAGACAGACAGACCCCTGAATATACTCCTGACTATTTAAATCTTGATAAAGAATTCAGGACTACAAAAAAATCTTACTAAAGTTTTTGTTATCTTTAAAAATTTCTCGACTGAAAAATTCAGCGGGATCCTCAGAAAAGTTAAGAGAGGATTTTACAAAGTTCCTCAAGATCAACTCTGAAAAAGTTCTTCTTCCATGTCCTTCAGGGGCTCAAGAACATTGAATCATTAAAAGCAGGAACAGTTTCTTCAGAAGTTCAATGATTTTTTCTTTTTCTTTTTTCAGACTGTGGGACTGCAGTTTGTCAGAGATCAGCTTTTCTTCTCTGGTCTCAGCTCTGAAGTCCAACCCCTCCCATCTGAGATATCTGGACCTGGGTCACAACAATCTGCAGGATTCAGGAGTGAAGCTGCTGTGCGACTTTTTGCAGAGTCCAAACTGTACACTGGAGACTCTTAAGTGAGACTTTTTTTCCCCATTCAAACATTAGCGTGATTTGTTTGTGATGATGACACTAACCTGATGACTCAGGACTGAAATACTGACCAAGACTGAACATCTTCAGTCCAGAGTAAATTTTCTGCATCAGTGGATTATTTGATTGACTCCAGTTAGATCACTGCTAAGCTCCAGTGAATTAAAACCTGAACACAGGAAGAAAACTCTTTGTAGAGTTCACAGTGAGAAGCACATTCAGACAGAAAACAGAAGCAGGGGGAGATTTGTCAGATGAGAACCATTCAAACTTTTGTTCAGGACAAGATCAAGGAATAAAAAAAACTCAGTTTCGTTTCCGACTCTAATGAAAGTCCAGCTCTGTTTCTTTGAATTTTGTTTTGTTTTTAAATCTTTGTGTGAAAATCTGATTTTTATGGTCTATCTGCACTTTTCTGAAGCCTTGCTGTGTTTAGACCAAAATATTTACCTTTCAAAGAGATTATATTTTTGGTTTAGCAAAGTGAAAATATTCTGAACATCACTTATTTCCCCATCCATCCTGAAGTCGCTGACATTTTCTGGGAAATGTTGTTCTGCATCTACAGTCAGTGAAAAAGAATCTGAGTTTGTTTTCACTATTTAAAGTGTAATTGAAGTCACTGTTTCAAACTTACTTCCTGTTTGGTTCAGCTCTTTGGAGCGTCACTTTTCTTTGATTCCAAACCTTTTCCTCGCTCCCTACAGATTTAAGACATCAGATTTTAAACTAGATCATTTTTGTCTAAAATCTCATTATTTCCTCTTTATTTAGGTTGTATTACTGCAGGTTGACAAAGATCAGCTGTTCTTCTCTGGCCTCAGCTCTGAAGTCCAACCCCTCCCATCTGAGAGAGCTTAACCTGTGTTATAACAATCTGCAGGATGCAGATGTGAAGCCGCTGTGTGATCTTGAGAAGAGTCCAGACTACAGACTGGAGGATCTGAGGTCAGTATAGAGTTGGAGTTAGTTTTTGCTGATCTCTCCTGTTACACTGCACACAGTATCACAGCTGATATTCAGTGTTTCCTGCGGACTCTTCGACCCTCTCAGAGGATTATTTCTAAAATGAAGCTATGAGAACAGAAATCATCAAATGAGGAGTGTACACAGTATCCAAACTCTTCAGGGATTGAGGTTGTAATCATGAAAGATATTTATTGTACAAAATTTGAAAAATCATTCATTTATTTTATAGAATCTCTGTTAAACTGATTTACATTGTTCACTTTTTTAAACTGTATTTTATCATTTTGAGTTTCTCTTACATCTTGGTGTATTGCAATTGCTAATAACTCTTGTGCTGCCCTCGCGGGTCAAAAAGACCCTGTCTGTATAGATTGAGAATTGCAACCATCATGATTCCTTGGTAGGTCAAAAATACCCACAGTGGAAGTTGCAGGTGTTTTGTATGATGTGTTGGATAGTGGAGAAGAAGGTTCTTACATGTTTGCATTTTAGAAAAAGGTACTCCAAATCTTCATCACATTTATTACATTTTGTACACTGTCTCAGGTATTTGTTCTTGTTTGGTTGATGCAGAACGATGCCTTTAAAAATCCCCCTGTGATTGATTTGACATTGAAACCGAGACAGATTTGAACCCAAATCTTTCTGTGGTGGGTGGTCGTTCGATGGTGGATATGAGGAGTTTTTACCATGTGTTTGTTTTAATTTCTTGAATGGGGACCAGGATATTTCTGTGGCACAGGAGGAAATTCAAGTCATTGTTCTGCATCGAGTTGTCTTTTGTCTGCTTTATTTCATTGCAAAAGGCTATGACTGCATTCCCAATGTTTTTCACCAATGTGCTGATGCTGCTCTTCCTGAAATGTATGTTTTTGCTCTTTAAAACACCACACATTTATTTTAGTTTGATATTAAAATCTTCAGCCAAAATGTTTTGGACCAAACTAACTCTGCCTCCTTCAGGTGTGAGCTAGTGATGTCCTTCCTTTATGCAGAAAGCAAAAATTCTTAAGGAAGTGTAATCAAAACACATATAACACATAACACATATCGGCTTGAGGTGGGGCAGCAATTTGCCCCACATCTCAAAGATCTCCTTCTCCGGGTGAAGCATACACAAATTGTATACGTCCCTCATCCCAAAGTCGGCGTGCCAGCACGTCTTCCCAGGAATTCCAGATTCAGAAATTTACTGACTGATTTGGCCCTGAGCGTGCCTTTTTTGGGTCTGATGTCAATCAGCCCGAAACCCCCCTCCCTTTTATTAGCAATTAACACTCCGTAAGCAATCAAATTTCCCTTTCCCTTCCATAAGAAGGAGGACATAGCACTGTTCAGTGAATTTAGCGCCCATTGCAGCAGCTTACAGACAGCCACTTTGTGGTTTATTTCAGTACTAGAGCATTTATCACTATTAGCCTTCTTTTGAGTGTCAAGCCTCTGGCCTTTCAGAGATTTAGCTGTTTTTTTTTTTTTTTTCAATTACACACTCCCGATTTTTTTTCATTGTCTCATTTTATTTTTACCGATATATACCCCTAAGATTTTTCTATGGTTTTGTATTTCAAAAAAGATTCCATATATTTTCTTCACATTCATTTAGCCCACAGTGCATTATATCACATGCTCTAAAACTTTACTTGCATTATCCTTTACGGTTAATGTCATCTGTGTGTCGTACTACTTTGGTACTCTAAGTACCATATTTAGTCATGATGCCTTCTACTTCGGGCAGCACAGTGGTGTAGTGGTTAGCACTGTCACCTCACAGCAAGAAGGTCCTGGGTTTGAATCCGGGTCAGGGTGTTTCTGTATGGAGTTTGCATGTTCTCCCTGTGTCTGCGTGGGTTTACTCCAGTTTCCTCCCACATCCCAAAAACATGCATAAGTGGGGTTAGGTTAATTGGCCACTTTCAAATTGGCCGTAGGTGTGAATGTGAGTGTGGATGGTTGTTCGTCTTTTTATTTCAGCCCTGCAATGAACTGGCGAGTTGTCCCATGCCTTCGCCCGAAGATGCTAGGATAGGCTCCAGACCCTCAGCGGGAATAAGCAGTAGAAAATGAATGAATGAATGCCTTCTATTTCTCTGTCTTTTATGATATGGAGTGCTAGGGGCTCTGCCACAAGAGAATCTTTCCAGTGCAAAATGATTTGTCAGGAGTCCATTTATTCAGCTTTTAGCATTGCTATACAATATTTTAATCCATTTCATAAAACTTTGTTCAAAACCGAAAGTTTTCAAAGTGCTAAAAAGAAAACCATGATCTACTCTGTCTAAAGCTTTTTCTAGATCTATTCCCAAGAGTGTGCCCTGTGTCCTCTGCATTCGTTAGACCATTTCTTTTATGGTTAATATTGAGTCTGATAAATCTCTTTGTGGGATTCTGTAAGATTGTGATGTGATGACTAGAGAGCCAATAACCTGTTTTAATCTGTTTGCCAGTTCCCTAACCCCTTTCTTGAAAATCAGAGTGATTGTTACTTCTACTAATATGGGCGGTACATTTTGGTCATAGGAAATAGTTCTGTATAGTTTGAGCAGTAATGAGACCAGATGCCTCTTGAAAATGCAATAAGATTCAGCAGTCAACCTGTCAGAGCCAGGGCTCTTGTTGTTGTTTTGATTGTTTATGGCTTCTTCAATTTTATTTGCGGTTAGGTCTGTTTTGCACCAGTTTCTGTCTTTAGCTAACAAGGTATTTTCTATGGATTGTAAGTATTGTGGTAATGTATCTTTTTCTATATCAGTTTGTTTTGAAAATAGATCTTTGTAGAAAGCATGAGTGCATGACATTATTTTATCCATTTCAGTGTAGTTGTTCCTATCTTGATCTGTTTGTTGTGCTATGTATGATTTTTTTCTTGTTTTTTCTAAACTTCTTATGATTTCTTTCTTTTTTACTATAGTTAATGCATGCTGTTTTTTCTTCTGTTATTCAGACTGTCCCAAGATTAAATAAAATGTTTATTGTCTATTTTTTCTGCTTGAAATTCTTCAAAAAGCTGTTTGATGTTGTATAAAAGGGGTTTGTCCTTTAAAATGCTGGCATTTAAACACCACAGTCCCTTGCCCCTGTTTTTTTTTTGCGCTGTGCCTAGCTCCCATTGGAGCAGGTCATGGTCACTCCATGTGTTACATTCATATTCTACCTTATTTATCTCAAAAATCGTGTTCAAAGCTGCCAATAGTAAATCTATTTCAGATTGTTTGAGTGTACCCACCACAGTTTGTTTTCTTGAAAAATACCTATATAATTAATAAATAATGTACTATGCATTCTCTATATATCCACTAAATTATAGTTTTGTAATATTTTTAATAGAAGAGTTCTGGATGTATCATTTTTAGGGCCCGAGCCGACACTGCAAGCAGCGCACGAGATTATTTATTATTATTATTATAAACTGTAACTTTTTTTTATTTTAATTTTTTTACTTTTTTACCCTCTAGACAGGCTCAAAAACTCCTGAAATTTTGCAGGCGGGTCGGGTCAAAGTACGTATTTTGCCATTCCCCTATAGATATACACTCACCGGCCACTTTATTAGGTACACCTGTCCAACTGCTCGTTAACACTTAATTTCTAATCAGCCAATCACATGGCGGCAACTTAGTGCATTTAGGCATGTAGACATGCTCAAGACAATCTCCTGCAGTTCAAACCGAGCATCAGTATGGGGAAGAAAGGTGATTTGAGTGACTTTGAACGTGGCATGGTTGTTGGTGCCAGAAGGGCTGGTCTGAGTATTCCAGAAACTGCTGATCTACTGGGATTTTCACGCACAACCATCTCTAGGGTTTACAGAGAATGGTCCGAAAAAGAAAAAATATCCAGTGAGCGGCAGTTCTGTGAGCGGAAATGCCTTGTTGATGCCAGAGGTCAGAGGAGAATGGGCAGACTGGTTCGAGCTGATAGAAAGGCAACAGTGACTCAAATAACCACCCGTTACAACCAAGGTAGGCAGAAGAGCATCTCTGAACGCACAGTACGTCGAACTTTGAGGCAGATGGGCTACAGCAGCAGAAGACCACACCGGGTGCCACTCCTTTCAGCTAAGAACAGGAAACTGAGGCTACAATTTGCACAAGCTCATCGAAATTGGACAATAGAAGATTGGAAAAACGTTGCCTGGTCTGATGAGTCTCGATTTCTGCTGCGACATTCGGATGGTAGGGTCAGAATTTGGCGTCAACAACATGAAAGCATGGATCCATCCTGCCTTGTATCAACGGTTCAGGCTGGTGGTGGTGGTGTCATGGTGTGGGGAATATTTTCTTGGCACTCTTTGGGCCCCTTGGTACCAATTGAGCATCGTTGCAACGCCACAGCCTACCTGAGTATTGTTGCTGACCATGTCCATCCCTTTATGACCATAATGTACCCAACTTCTGACGGCTACTTTCAGCAGGATAATGCGCCATGTCATAAAGCTGGAATCATCTCAGACTGGTTTCTTGAACATGACAATGAGTTCACTGTACTCAAATGGCCTCCACAGTCACCAGATCTCAATCCAATAGAGCATCTTTGGGATGTGGTGGAACGGGAGATTCGCATCATGGATGTGCAGCCGACAAATCTGCGGCAACTGTGTGATGCCATCATGTCAATATGGACCAAGCTCTCTGAGGAATGCTTCCAGCACCTTGTTGAATCTATGCCACGAAGAATTGAGGCAGTTCTGAAGGCAAAAGGGGGTCCAACCCGTTACTAGCATGGTGTACCTAATAAAGTGGCCGGTGAGTGTATATATATGAAAAAAAATGACTGGCTAGCACACCCTACAGTTTTTATGCTGGCGGAGTTTCCTGTATAATTTCCCATACACTGGTTCTACCTCCACAAGATTTTAGTCATTTGATAACAGTCCAACACCGGACAATGTGACACCAAACTTACGTCAGTATGTCTTAGCGCTACCTGGTGGCAGAGGGGATTGCGTTTTTTGGTTAATGGCCTGTAACTCCTTCTTTATGGATGGGATTTGTTCAGGACACACCTGATACGGTACCAGATAAGCTAAAAAAATCAACACTTTGTTTCGTTAAAACTGCGCCTAGGTGGCGCTTTGAAATGTCTCCAAAAAAATAGCAATCTGTGATATTGCTATAGATATGCACAGCCACATAAAATCTGGTACACAGATCAGGAAGGGCGTCCTGTTGAGGGCTCCAATGTCAAATTTGAGATCCAACCAAAAATGGCTACATAGCGCCCACTACAAAATTTCAAAATGTAAGCCTCATTTCTGTGTGTGACCCAAACCTATGGAACCAAGGACACTTACGTTGGACCCCAAGATGAACAAAAAGGGCTCCGATGTCAAAATTAGAATCTAACTAAAAATGGCTACATAGCGCCCCCTACAAAATTTCAAAATGTAAGCCTCATTTCTGTGTGTGACCCAGACCTATGGAATCAATGACCCCAAGACGAACAAAAAGGGGAGTCGGTCCACAGAGGCGGGGCGTAATACAGCTTGGGCCCATCTATAATGAGCGTTTTACCCTTTTTGTCTTCATAAATTACTTTGATATTATTTATTAGGTCATTTATTATCAGAATTAAATAAGTTGTCCTCCCAGCAGAGACAGAGACCATTGACATTTAGGGGCTGGGGACCGAAGCTGCATTGTTCATCGTCGCCACCTGTCTTCTGGAATTTGTTTCAGCCTTGGAGAGTTTATTTTGTGGTGGATGAGACATGGTGCTCGCTGGCAGGTCAAGAGGGGCGTCGGGGATCGGGGATGGCTTGCACCGCCGGCGTCTCCTTCATCACCAGCACACCCATAAGGGATCCCCAGATCCAGATACCAGATCCGGCCCAGTGTCTAGATGCACGACAGCCCTAAACGGCCCGATTCCCGATTTCAGCTCAGTGCCAGACCAGACCCAGAACTAGTGCAGTGCTAGTTTAAAAGTCTCATATGTGTCCCAGATATGGCCAGATCCATGACCACAACCAGCAACAGCATCAGATCCATCCCAAGTACGGCCTGGATCCATGAATCACCTCCAGATCAGCTCTGGCCCAGCTCAGTTTCACAGCACACTTTGCATGCATACCAATAGTGTAATTAATCAAAATTAAATTGACTGAATTCTAGATGATTGTGGGCATCAAATCTCTACAGTTTCTGACTTATATAAAGTTACTACAGGTGACTGTAGTAACTTAAAATCCAAGTTGTTGGAACAAGATTGTAAATCCATTCCCTTTTTTTTATTTTACTCCACTACTATCACTATGGCAAGCCAGAAGGAACATAAAAGATAAACACCAAAAATTTGGCAGCTGATTTTTCCCATTGCATGTTGAATTTTATACAGCACCACCGTCTGTTATAACACTGATATTGCGAAAGGAAATCCACTTTAAGGGCTTTTTAAATGGATTTACTAAGAGCATAGTGGTAGTAAGATAATCGGACATCATTTTTTTAAATGCTGTAAAAACCCTGAACATGATGACTGAATTGTGCAGACAGATGAACCCCCTGAAATAGTAGTCTAATGCTTGCTAAAGCAAAAACACACTTGTAGGAGCCACATTTGAGTTTGTATTCACATGGTTAACATTAGGTTTTTATTGACCTTTCAGTTTTGTCCGCACCCTCCACAGGTGGTGAGGGCGTTCGCCTGTAAGTAGGGGCAGCTGACGCACAGCCACATGACGGCTCTCAACACATACTATCATTTGACTGAAGGCTTTAAATGCAGTGATATATTGTTTAAAAAAACCTTTGTAACTCATTTATTTTATTCATTTATTTTTGGAATAAAAACAACGCAACTTTATCCAGCTCTCCAGGGAGTCATTTTTTGATATTTTGCACGTGTGATGATGCTGTGAAGATGTTGCTGTTCAAACCAGGAATAAAGATAATTGAAGTAATTTTAATGTAATTAAAGTCCCAATAATAACATAAATTTAAATGATTTTCTTTTTTTAAATGTAGGACTTTGATATGAAATTGCTCAAAAATGATACAGTAAATAGGAAAAGTTCTCAGTGTGTCAGTAGTTACAGATGTCTTCTGCTCAAGTATATCAAGCATTGTCAGACATTGTGGAACAATTTGCTTTTACAGTGTCCGAAAAATGAAAAATGTAACTATTTCAAAGAACAAATGTGGGACTTTTAATTTGAAATTGCTCAAAAATGATAGAGTAAAAAAAATCAAGTCTCAGGGCTCCGTTTTCGTGCCTCACCGGCGGCGTGGCGTAGGCGCGCCATAAGTCAGGTTTGTCGCGCCGATAAGGTGTGCCCAAGCACATTTTGGTATTTTGGTGAGCGGCACAGCCTGGTGTAAGTATCCCCCCTGTTAAATATAAATGTTAAATATAAATGTTAAATATAAATATAGATGTTAAATATAAATGTAAATGTTAAATATAATGTGTGTATAAATGTGCCAAAATAAAAGCTCCAGAAGGTCATATTGATGATTCTTGTGTCGAAGAAAATGAATTAAAACCAATTTAAGGGGGAACAAATACTTGGGGTGACGTTTCGTGTTAATAACTACCTACAATAGCAACAGCAACAACAACAACTTTATTAGAAAGACTTTTCAGTTTTCAGTGTCGCTTCTCCGTGTGGCGCGGACACTGTACGAAGACACGCACACACAAATGCAGGCGCACACATGATACTGCTCCTTGGCTACTCATCAATTCATGTAGTGCTTTGGCCAAACGGGTAGCGCATATGACTCTGATGCAGGAAACCGGGGTTTGAAACTCTCCATGATCTCTTTTGCCACTTTGTCTTTTGGGTCATTTATTCATTCATTCATTTATTTATTTATTAGCTTAATTTAATTCATTCACTGCCATTTAGAAGAGTCTGGTGCAGGTTGTCAGCAAATCTTGTGTGTTTTTTTTGGGGGGTCGGATTTTCCACTTTCGACCAACAATCCGCCCATCCTTTGCACCTTTGGAAACATGCATCCATCATGCAAGGCCAACATATTTCCCTCAGATATTGATATGAAGACTCTGGCTGAACGTGTGTTTAATTATGCGATTGCACAATCACGTTTTACTGGAGGGACTGATCAGGGCACTTCATGCATAGCACATTTCTTTAGCTTTTGATTACTGGATGTAATGACATCAGAACACAAAAGAAAATGCTGCTAACATCTGCTAAATGTCTCTTCAGGCCCCTGCCACACCTGGACCAGCCACAAACAGCACCTCCACCGGGACAAACCGCTCGGTATGCACTTATGACATAGTCAGTGGTTTATGCTTCTATCCTAATGTCGCCAGTTAGACACTGTCAGTAGGTCTCCATCTACTGTTTGCATCAACTTTAAAAATGTATCGATGTCATGTAATTTATGTGTTTCATTGATTTCAGTGACAATATAATGAAAATATAATTACACATCTTTAAAATGCAGTATTGGCTATGAAATATCAACTTTCTTCTCAGTTTTGACCAAAATAAATCACTTCTATAACAGAATAACAAACCATTAGAGCTTGTGTTTTGCAATCTCATATTGAAGATTTTATTTATTACCCAGCCAAGTTGATGGCGATGCCAAGGGATCTGACAATACAAGTATATTGATTGTAACTGTTTTGTGTCCTTTCCTTTTTGTAGGATGGACAACCGTCAATCTCAAAAGAAGAAATTGAAGGTCTGCTGCAGCTGGGAACAACACTCACTGAAGTTGCTTCAGTGCTACAGATCTCCAGACCAACATTGTACAAGTTGATGCGTAAATTTAACATGAGGCACACCAAATTCTGTGTAATTTCCAATGAGGAATTGGATGCAACAGTAAGCAACATAAAATCAGAACATCCTTATATAGGTGAAGTTATGCATTTGCGGGCAAGAAACATTGTGATTCGGCGACATCGTCTCAGAAACTCCATAAAAAGGGTTGATAGTGCTGGTGTTGCGTCGAGAAGTACAACAACAGTTCAAAGAAGAGTGTACACTGTGCCTTGTCCAAACTGTATATGGCACATTGATGGAAATCATAAATTAATTCGATGGAAACTGGTTGTACACAGTGCAATGGATGGCTACAGCAGAATGTTGACATTCCTCCAGTGTGCCAACAACAACAGGGCTGAGGCTGTCATGGACCTCTTCGGTACAGCCATCAGTGAATTTGACCGGCCAATTCACATCAGAACTGATCATGGAGGGGAAAATGTCAAGATTTGGGATGACATGAGGGTGCATAGAGGTGATAGTTCTGTTTTGACAGGAAGTTCTGTTCATAATCAACGAATTGAGAGATTCAACCGTGATTTGAACAGAAACTGCCGTGATGTGTTTGCACCAATATTCTATTAGCTAGAGAGCATGGAGGCCTTGGATGTAGACAATGAATCTGATTTGTTTTGTATTCATTTTGTGTACATTCCAAGGATCAATCACACGTTACACAGGTTTAAATCTGCATTCAATCATCATTCAGTCTCCTCTGAGGGGAACAGAACCCCCCTTCAGCTTTTCACACTCGACAAACATCTTCTCACACTACACTATCCTGAGGCTGCAACTGAGGAAACAGTGGAATTTTTATCAGTATCTCAAGCACATTCCTGCTTTTGCCCACTCAACCAGCAGGAGCTGCAAGAATTGGTGGTTGCTGTTGACCCTCTTGAAGATGATGGTAACAAGGAGAAAATATTGTATCATAGAGTACAGGAATTCGTATATAACAAAATTGTGAATGTCTAAATCTTTGAGGCCATTGAAATGTGACATTAGCGTGTCAATCGGTAGTGGTATACGTTTGAAAAAAAATGCTGTACTGTTATTTGGGGTAGGCTGGTAGAAAGGCTGTTTTAAGATTAGCTCAACATTTTTTGGACATTAAGTATAAAATGTATGAAGAGAGAATTAAATGAAAATGCATCAGCAGACATTCAATTGGTTTATTGGCTTTTAAATGCATAGTAGTACTGTGCATGCCTACATACCTACATACTATGCATACTGCTGACACCAAACAACTTCTCAAACTTTCCCACACCAAAAATCGAGTGAAACCCTGAAAATTATTAAATTGTGCTGAATACAGATCCATTCATCAGTGCAACAAGAAAACAGTAGTTGAATTCATCATTATCCTGGGTTGTAGTTGCATTCACAAAAAGCTCAAGCTCATTAGCACAAGTGTGTGCAACGGGAAGATTCTTTTTTCCATCATGATTGAATGTCAACTTCGGAGTCGGCTGGAAGCCAATGGCAGGGACTTTGCTGCTCCCTGTAGCAAATGCCAGGGAATGACTGGGACTCAGAATGTTGAGGAAAGCATCTTCCTCGTCGGTAAGAAGGTCTTCGAATGTGGCTCTCAGCTCTTTATCTAAAGCAAAGAAAATCAAGTTATAACCAGTAGACTGAAAAATACTGAAGTTTGCTATGATTGAAGCATTCATGCTATTATACTTTGGTGAAAAAGCAACTATGGTATGTTCTTAGAAGTGCATAAACATTGGGTAGATTATCAACTCATGAACCTTCATGAGTGGTTGTAAAAATTAGAATGATTATAAATAAATATCCTAGATTAGCGGTTCTCAACTGGGAAAGTGTACACAATCCCCTCCTCTCCTTCCCTCTGTCTCTGCTTTCCTACTCTTGCTCTTCCTCTTCTCCTCTCCACTACTCCAGCTGTGCTGTGTGGCAGCGGTGCAACCTGGTCTATGCCAGTGGTATTTATATTTAAAAATATAGAAATTTAGGGATTTCATCAAAATTTTTGTCTTCAGTGAATACATACACTTCAGAGGATGAGTTGAGAGGAGGAAGGAAGCAGAAGCCAAGCACAGAGCAGCCTGAGATGAGAATGGATGTATGGATATTGAGACAGACAGACAGACAGATAGATAATCTGTCTATCAATCTATCTTGAGTGGGTGGCGCCCGGAGGAGGGGGGCCTAACTGCATTGATCCAGCGTTGGGGGGGCCCAGCTTTCAAAAGGTTTAGAACCCCTGTCCTAGATTTCGTTATTGTTAAATATCCTGAGTAAAGAGTATCTTTCAACTTACCTTCAATACATTGGAGAAAGTCTCGAAACTTTACCACTATCAACTCCTCTTTTGCTCTTCGGTTACTTCTCAGTACTGAGTAGCTTGGTTTAAGAAGAGCAGCAACAAGATCCGCTGCCAGATCACTGTCCTGTTCTGGCATGTCAAGGAGAACATGCAAACCAGGGTTCTCTCTCAGGAGAGATAAAACCTGAAGGGGTAGTCACAAAAAAAAATGATTGTGGTTAAATAATGTAGGTTTTCAAATCTAAACCAGTTTTAATAAAATTTCATGTCGTGAAAAATGTTATTACAACATTTCATGTCATAAAACGACCCATGCTAATATATATCTATGGGCCTTTTTATAGATATATATACTAATCCCTTAAATTTTTTAAACTTTTATTACAGCTAGGTATTAATCGAACATGAGAACTAAGGTAAATCTTACTCCATAGTAGGACAAGCCATCAAGCAGTTGGTCGAGAGAGCTTTGCCGTTGAAGAATTCCATGGTAAAGGGCTGCATTTTTGACAAAATGTCTCTGTTGTCCATTGTGACCATGTGGGGAAGACTCTCAACTTGAAATCGCCACGAATCACAGCAGCTGACTGCTTCCTCCAATTCATGTGGTTGATGTGGTACATCAAGGGCTCTATTTTCGTGCCTCGTCGGAGACGTGCCGCAAGCGCGGCGTGACTCAGGTCCGCCGCGCTGACAAGGCGTGTCCAAGCACATTTTGGTATTTTGGTGAGCAGCGCAGCCCAAGCAGCTTCCAAGTATCCCCCCTCCCTAACTCAGCCCCTCCCAGCAGTGTAAGTCGTAGACGGGGAGGAGAGAAGGTGTGGAGTGGATTTAACATAGCCGAGTCCAATTTGCGCCAATCAAATAACCTCCTCTCCTCGCCTTTAAATCCGCCGTATTGGCATTTTCGTGCAGGAGACTTGCAGATGGCAGAAATGGAAGAAATGAGTGCGAGACAGCCGAACTTCTCCCAGGAGGAAACTGATGTTCTGGTCCGGGAGGTCCAGTCTCGCAGTGGCCGGATATACGTTCACGCAAACAGACCTCCACGAGCCGATGATGCAAAAGCAGCCTGGGAGGAGGTAAGTACTGCTGTCAACCAAGTTTGCCCGGACGTGCTGAGAACCGCTGCGCAATGCAAAAAGCGGTTCAATGATGTTAGATGATGGGCTAAACTGAAATGATCCCAACACCATCGCCAGATGGCAACGACCGGAGGTGGCCCCTCACCGAGTGTGGTGCTGAGCCCTGCCGAGGACGTGGCGTCCTCCACACTCCCCAAAATCAGTATCGAGGGGTTTGGTGTCTTTGAGGTTGGACTCACGGGTAAGACAAACATTCTTTTCCACAAATAAAGACACTAACATCATGTATATTTAACCACGTGTTACAAAGGTGTGTTGTGTGCACAGGTGATCTGAAAAAATGCCATGCGTAATGGGATTGAAATCGGAACCACCTGTGCGTAAAGACAGATCAAACAAAGCCTGATTGTATTTTCCTCCCCCTTTCCGCTAATGTTTGCATGTGAAATGAACTTGGCTCACACAATTTATAACTTCTTTATTCTAAATTAAAGTATTAACATTTTTAAAAAAAATGAATTTCTATGATCTACTAAAATAAAATTTTTGGTCAGCCTCGGCAGAATTGCCGCCGTCGCGGCAGCAGCAGCACCACAGAAGAGAGGAGGAGGAGGAAGAACAGCAGCAGCAGCAGCAGCAGGTGGTCAGGGAGGAGGAGAAGGAGGGAGAGGAGGACGAAGATGACCATGAGGAGGAGGGCGAGGAGGACCAGGGGGAGCCGGAGCCGGTGCCGGAGACGCAGGAGGGGGCAGGACACAGACACGAGCCGGCAACACAGGGTCGGAGACGAAACCGGGTTCAGCGGGAGGACCGGCCCTTCCTGGACACCCAGCGGGCTGGTTTTCAGATGTTGGAGAGGGAGCTGGGGTCGATGGGGGCGCGGCTTGGGTCGCTGGAGGCCCAGGTGAAGTTGTTTCAGGAGGTCCTCCAGGCCAGCCTGCTCCCCCTAGCCTCTGGCGTTGCTACACTACAGCGACTGTTCCAGGTAGCCGAAAGGCTGCTGCCACCAGCACAATCATCTGCCCCCGCCTGTCCCCGGTGACCAGGGAGGGAAGGGAAACATATTTAAAACTGAAAAGCCCTCAGAAAGCGCAGACCTCCGCCAAGTATATGACATAGGTTACATACACATATGCTGAAAATGGCCCTATATCGCAATGATAAAGAATCCTTCAAAAAATTCCTTAATCCAGATGGTGATCCGGATCAACTCCAAAACTTAATCACTTCTTCCTTTTCTCAGTCTGGACATATCCTGAACATTTCATAAAAGTTGGTCCATAACTTTTGAGTTATGTTGTTCACAAACAGACAGACAGACAGACAGACTCTCCTATTAACCTCCCTGGCAGAGGTAATAATAATAAGAGTATATCTTTGAAACACAAACTGATTTACCCACAGAATGACTTGCCTCTGACCCTTCATTATACTAATATACATAATACTTGTAACTAATATCTTTACCTTCAAAAGCTCCACTGTCCTGGAAGATAGCCTTAACCAGTAGGCGGAAGAATTCCCGTCTAGGTCCCCCAAGATCAGCGGCATCTTCCTCACTACCATGTTCATCACTTGCAAATGTGACATACAGCATGTCACAGCTTTCTGCAAACCTGGGCCTCTTGAACTGCTGCAAGGTTGTGGTCCACACATTGGCTCGACTGATGAAGATTTTCCTCGTTCCCGATGTAATGACCTTCTCACTATGAGCTCGTAGAAGGCCTGCAATTTCTTCCTTGCTCAGCATTTCAGAGGATCTATATAAAAATGACAATGAAAAAGATAAACAGACCCTTGGACATCTGTGCATAAATTGGACAATTAACTTGGGAGCAAATTGTTTTATTTTGTTTGACATGTTCACACTGATGTAGTGATGAATTACGCTGAACTGCCTCCTCAAGAGCTTCTTCCTCGTCAAGATAAAAAGGGCTGAGCAAACAAGGAGAGAAACACACAGCAGAACATTCAGCAGACATAACATATGCAGTATATTGTCAACTTCAATTGTCGTCAAACTGCTAAACCTTTAAGACCTGTCAATTCTCTATCTTGCTTGATTCAATTTAAATTTTTACATTCTTTTTACATTTTTAATAAGATTACTCAGGATGTATTAATCGACCTTAAAGGAGTAGTTCAACATTTCTGAAAATTGTCCTTTCAATGATTGTTGGGCGGCCATTAGCTCAGCCTTGCTGGTTCGATCCCCCGGCCCAGAGCCGTGTCGATGTGTCCCTGAGCAAGACACCTTGATCCACTTGATCTTGATGGGTTGTGGTTACTGCTTTGTGTAGCCTTTTCACCATCAGTGTGTGAATTGGTGAATGTGATCTGTGGTGAAGTGCTCTGTGCACTAGAGCTGAGAAGGCCGCTATAGTGACCATTTACCATTCTCCCTACAGTATGCATTGTATACAGTAGATCATATAAAATTTGTAAACATAGGCTACTGTAAATGATAAAGTCACTGGGAAAATCACTATTGCACAGACAACAATTTTTTAAGCTGGGAGAGCTACAAGCAGCATTATGATGGCCAAGCACTAAACCCATTGCCTATGGACTAAAAGACAAGAAAAGACATGATAAATGAAAACCACAAGATAAATGGAAGAGTGGAAATGGAATACTGGCAAACACACAGTTCTATAAAACCAACCTCTCCTTCTCCGGCACACTGGACTTTCAAAGTCATCCTCAGATAGTTCCTCAGGTTCCTCCTGGGAAAAAAGGTATGTGCAATATATATCATGTAAATGAAATGGAAAAGGAGGGTATTTAGTATAAAACTGATGTAAAAAAAACTGATGTAAAGCACAGGTACACCGCTACATGCTCCAGCCACCAACTGATATGGAAGAATATAACTCGCCAGACAGCAAAGACAATTGATGTGAAACTGAATTTTTCCCCTTTGCACACCAGATAATGTACCGTTGCACAGTTGTTTAAAAACAATGCATTAATCTATATTAACAAGCAAAAAAAAGCTGAGGAGCAGACTTTTTTTGCTTCGAATATACAGTACTGCATTCCTACTACGCTACTACATATTACAATACATACTGTGTATTGTAATATGAAATGCTTACCTGTACAGGTTTGTGCATTAATGCCAGTATATATAGACAAGAAGTTGAGGTGATTGAGCCAACTTCCTTTCCACCCCAAAGAAAGTTGCTTGAGACATTTGGTTTCATTAGTTTTTTGCATCCCTTGACTGTGCTCAAATACTCAAAGGGCAATGGTTGGCCGATGGGTAATGCAAATGTTCTTCTGAAAATGGCAGTAATTTCATCTCCAAGTTGAGCTTCAGACGAGTCAGAGGTAAATGAGATTTTCCTAATAAGTCCATCTTGCGCTAACTTTGCTCTGGAGTCTCCCCTCGGAATACGTAATGTTGAAGAAGATACAGAAGAAGAAGAGAAAGGCAAGCACACAACATCCCTTGAAAAGCGTTTGCCACTCTTGTTTTTTCTCCAAACTCGTGAGTGTGTGGCAGGTCTATGAGCGGAACGGATGGAAGAGGAACCTGAATTCAATGAAACACATAAATTACATGACATCGATAAGTTTTTAAAGTTGATGCAAACAGTAGATGGAGACCTACTGACAGTGTCTTTGAGCAACTACAGGCTCTCTATACTACTGATCGATAACTGGCGACATTAGGATAGAAGCATAAACCACTGACTATGTCATAAGTGCATACCGAGCGGTTTGTCCCGGTGGAGGTGCTGTTTGTGGCTGGTCCAGGTGTGGCAGGGGCCTGAAGAGACATTTAGCAGATGTTAGCAGCATTTTCTTTTGTGCTCTGATGTCATTACATCCAGTAATCAAAAGCTAAAGAAATGTGCTATGCATGAAGTGCCCTGATCAGTCCCTCCAGTAAAACCTGATTGTGCAATCGCATAATTAAACACACGTTCAGCCAGAGTCTTCATATCAATATCTGAGGGAAATATGTTGGCCTTGCATGATGGATGCATGTTTCCAGTCATTACTTTACAGAATGTCAGAGGAAGTCATTAGAAATGACTCTGTTCATTTGCATAGTGGGAACAGGGTGTCGCATGATACAGATTTTTTTTAAAATTCCTCACCGTTTTGGCAAGTTCACCCATTGCAAATTATAAATTACAAATCCTGCACATTCCATCACATTTTTTAGAAAATGTACTAATTAAGTACCGGTACTTTTTACAAGCGACAGTTAAAGCATACAAACAAACGAAAACTTTACTGAAGGGAAATCTTGATGAGGCTAATGCTAGCAAGTAGTAGTTAAGTAGAGCTAATAGTTGTAAAGCAAACTTACCGAGTGCCATGGTGGCCTTGTGGTGGATGCTGCCACAGCCACCGATGAAGTTGCAGAGGGAGGAAGACTTCTAATGGCTGCTAATACAGCTCTCCCAATGTTCTCCGCGAGCGCAGAATCCCCAGACATTTTTTCGGACCCCGGTTTCCTGCGTCCGAGTTATACGCGCTACCCGTTTGGCCAAAGCACTACATGAATTGATGAGTAGCCAAGGAGCAGTATCACGTGTGCACCTGCATGTGTGTGTGCGTGTGTTCATACAGTGTCCGCGCCACACGGAGAAGCGACACTGAAAACTCGAGTCTTTCTAATAAAGTTTTTGTTGTTGCTGTTGCTATTGTAGGTAGTTATTAACACGAAACGTCACCCCAAGTATTTGTTCCCCCCTTAAATTGGTTTTAATTCGTTTTCTTCGACACAAGAATCATCAATATGACCTTCTGGAGCTTTTATTTTGGCACTTCCAGTTTCCGACCGTGAATTTGCATATTAGCTAAATATTTAGTTTCGCCCAACACATTTAGATTTAACATTTACATTTATATTTATATTTAACATTTATATTTAGATTTAACATTTAGATTTATATTTTACATTTAGATTTAACATTTATATTTAGAGTTAACATTTAGATTAAACATATATATTTAACATTTAGATTTAGCATTTAGATTTAACATTTAGTTTTAGTATTTAAATGTTGTTGTAAATGTGCAAAAAAATGACTGCCGAAAATTCACATCACTTTTTTAAATGCTGTTTAAAGCTAATTGTGACCAAATCTTGCTGTTGTTTTGCTAAATGTGACCAAATCTTTCTGTTATTTTTATAATGGGCTGCTTTACAAACGGCACCCCATACGCCTGCGCTGAAAGCTGACCAGGTTTGAATCAGCGAGCTTTCAGCGCACTTTCTACGCCGCCGGCAGGCACAAAAATATCATTGCGCCAGCTGATTCTGTCAACACCTCCCCCGTCACGTCCCCACGCCCAACTTGGCGGACCTTGGTGCACCTCAGTCTACAAAAATACCAAGCTGGCTTTGCACCGGGCTCCGCCAGATGAAAATGCCACTTCACAGTGTCCACCACCCTCCGACGCGCCACTGGCAAGCACGAAAATAGAGCCCTCTGTGTTTCAGTAGTCAGAGTTATCTTTTGCTCAGATACATCAAGCATTGCCAGAAACTATGGAGCGATTCGCTTTGATGGTAACACAAAAGTGAGATATGTAACCATTTACAAATGTAGGACTGTAAAAGTCATTATAAATGATACAGTAAAAATTAATAATTCTCAGTGTGAGAGTAGTCACAGATATCTTCTACTCATGTACATCAAGCATTGACAGAAATTATGGAGCAATTTGCTTTTACAGTTTTGAAAAAATTAGAAAAATAACCTTTTTAAAGTACAAATGTAGGACCTATAATATGAAATTCCTTATAAATAATACAGTAAAAGTAATTTATTATCAGTGTGAAAGTTGTCAGAGATGTCTTTTTTTTTCATGTACATCAAGCATTGTCAGACATTATGGAGCAATTTTCTTTTACAGTTTTGGAAAAATAAATGTTTTAATTTCAAAGTACAAATGTAGGACATTTAATGAGAAATTGCTCAAAAATGATACAGAAAAAAATATTGAGTCTCGCTGTTTCAGTAGTCAGAGGTGTCGTTCACTCAGATACATTAAGCATTGCCACAAATTATGGAGCAATTTGCTTTACAGTAACACAAAAGTGAAAAATGTTTTAATTTCAAAGTACAAATGTGGGACTTTATATTTGAAATTCCTTATAAATGATACGGTAAAAATGAATTATTCTCAGTGTGCAAGTCGTCAGAGATGTCTTCTACCCATGTATATTAAGCATTGCCAGAAATATCTGGTATTGTCATGACATTTTTATATCAGAAATTTTACATTTACTGTTTCTAGCATCTGAAGTCCCAATGGTGCCTCCTCGCTTGTTTGGGATCGGTAACATCTTTTTTGGAAAGCTGGAAGTTGGGATAGTTTGAATGCATTTACTGTAAAGGTTTAGAATATGAGGGTACGCTAATTTTAGTGACCACTGATTTGACAGAGGAAAAATTAATGTCCGCTGGCTTGAGCGCAGTCCAGAACCCGAGGTAAACAGTGTAGTGGCGCTACAACACGCAGCGTGTCCCATTTTAGAAGAAGCTCCTCTCTTACAGACACTTGGCTTACATTGTTAGAGTGGTTTACCCTTCCAGAGGAAAAGTTACAGGGTCTGTAAGATCCTGAAGCGTCCCCCATCTTTTATGCTTCATTGATGTTGATCCGGCATTTTATCTCTTGTCCAGTCTACCTCCTTTTTAAAACAGCTGTTATTCTGCCAGAGTCTCTGTTATTTACTCTGTTTTCTTGCTAGTGTTAACAGTCGTGGCCAAAGGAGGATTCAGACAATTTTCCGAACTTTCTCATTGATTTCTACTGTCCGATATTGTAGCACGCTACCTTTTTTGGGCTCGTAAACATTATTTGAGGCTGTGAAGCGCGCCGCACAACACGAGGGAGCAGCGTCTGCCTCACAACCAATCACATCGGAAAGGTGGAGAATGGCTTTGTTTACAGTCAGAATGAGCGGGCGGCTAAAAATTTTTAAAATGTTGACTGCACTGGCATAAGAGAACACAGCGATATTGTGATATTCTCAAATGTCATCAATAATAGCTATGGCTAACATTAAAAGCCTTTTTGTACATACACCAAAAAAATTATGCTTCTTTAACAGATTCCTGCCTATTTCACCTTTTAGTAAGCCTTATATGACTGTCACATTAGCTTAGGGGTATCGCTGACATCATAATATACTTGCCATATATACAACAGAGGTAGTAACAGAAACTTAGCCCTAGCATTGCTAACTTATGCTAGTGAGGTACTTTCACTTTTGTCTCATTCAAGAGGTGCCTAGCTCACATGGCTAATTTGCATATTTACCAATCAGATGTGCGAAAAAACTGTCCCTCACTCCTGTTGACCCACGTTTGTATTAACATTAGCCGAGGTCAATTTGCCATAAAATGACCAACTTGGGAGAAAGTTCCAGCTATAGCTAGCTTTAGCGTTGGCCAAACGAGCTACTGCTTGCTTCGATTTTTACACCAAATTTGCACTCTCTCGACATGAACTTTGTTTGTCGTAGTTATGAATGTAAATGGCTTGTTAGTTTTACAAACACTTTAAAGAAGGACACTTTCCATCTCTGTCTTGCCACAATGTGGTGCAACAGATATACAGGAGGTGGAAGCACGAGAACTGTGAATGATGTGATTATGCGTTGGAATAGTCCAAAGTAGCAGCACCAATTGTAGATGAGGTGGCGGCGAGACGGGACACCTTATTTGGCGGCCATTCGAGTGGCATCACTAATAAGAGAAAGGCCACCGAATGGCACGCCGTTGCTGTGGCGGTTAGTGCAGCTGGCACTGAGCGCAGCGTTGGCGAAATTAAGAATAAGTGGTCGGATCTGAAGATTGAGGCAAAGAAAAAAGTGGCTTTGCACCGTCGGAGCGTGGCGGCGACAGGTGAGGATCAGAAAACACAAGCACGTGTGACACTCATGCATGTGTTCCAAAAAAACTGCTCCGTTATCCACCGCTGCTTATGTGGTGAAAGTTCATAAACCTAAAAGATTTAGTCGAAATATTTAACATGGAAACTACTTGTTACATTTCAAATTAAATGCTAAATCCTGAAATCAAAATGTTGAATGAGAAGTAACCTTTTCTGTGATGTCGCCAGCACCTTGCAACTTTTGACTGAGCAGAAAGTCTACAAATTTTACACACAGGTGGCGGCCAGACCACAGAGGAACCAACAACACTTCACTGCAAAATTGCCTCCGTTACTGGAAGTGCCGGTGTGTGTGGCATTGTGTCGAAGAGGGAGGGGGACACAGATTTTGCACGGACTGAGGAGAGTGGTATGTTACAATTTTACCCGTTTATTGAATCAAATGTTTGTACAGACACGTGGCAAGAAATGATGTGCATTGTGTCCTCAGTCACTTTGCAGTTGGAAGCAGTGGGAGAGGAGGTGGAGGAAGAGGAGGTGTGTCCCAGCGCGTCTGGCACACAGGCTGCAGGCCCGTCTTTCCCCAGCACGCCCAGCGGATCCAGAGTGCGCAGAGGTGGCCGGGTTCTCACAGAGACAGTCCTGCAGACACGGAGGGACACGATCGGGGCCATCAGAGAAGTGAGGGAGGAACTGGCACAAATACGCACAGTCTTGCAGAACATGTGTGACATAATGTCGACGGCAACTGACACAATAAAAGATTTGTTGAAAAAGTGAAACGCACTTGCACTTCACTTTTTACACATGCCGCATCAGTTCCTCACGTAGCCTTGCTCCATGCTAATATTCGTCATGCCGGGGAGGTGGCTGTGGGTCGGGGTCCACGTGTGGCGGGAGGGAAGTCAGGTTGGAGGGGGATGGCGTTCCTCACTGCCAAGTTATGCAGCACCACACACGCCTGTATAATTTTACAGACCTTTCTGGGGTGGTAGAGTAGCCTGCCCCCCGAGGCATCTAAGCACCTCCACCTACTCTTCAATAAACCAATGGCGCGCTCCGCAACAGAGCGCGCACGGCCGTGCACAATGTTAAAGCGCACTTCCTCTGCGCTCTGTGGGTTTGTAAATGGTGTGAGGAGCCACCGCCTCAGTGGGTAGCCGCTGTCACCTGCGAGGTATAACCAGAGTAATTAACAAGCGGGATCCAATTGCATTCCAAGAGCGCCACTCAGTAATGCTGTTCCAGTGGCAGCAACAGAATGGGTCAAATGTAGAGAAGAATTTCCCCGACAGAGCAAATAAAGTTGTGTGGGAATGCTATGGTGTTAGTGTAATACTTACCGAGGAGCCAGCCATCACGAGCAACACCTGCCTGCAGTCTGTTCCCAACACCACTGTGCGCCAAAATGAATGAATCGTGTGTTGAGCCAGGCCACCGTGCCACTACATTTGTGAGCACCATTGAAGAGTAACAAATTATTTGAACATTGATGGTGTGCACACCTTTTCGGTTAACATAAACTAATTCGTTCCTGCTGGGGGCTCTTATAGCAATGTGGGTGCAGTCAATTGCGCTGATTACATTAGGGAAACCGGACATTGCTGCAAATTGCCTTTTGCTGTTGGCCTGTTCAACAACAATGTAGGGAAACCTGATGTAGCGACTGGTCATTTGGATGATCCCATCCAAAACAGCTGGCAGTGCGGCACTGAGGGATGGCTGTGAGATCCCTAGAATTTATTATTAATTTATATTTCGTGAATCTGTACATTTAAATTACGCCTATATTGTGATATCATTGCTGATCTGTCATAATAAATACCTGTCCGACAATTCCCTCTGGAACGAGCCCATTGCCAAGAAACCAATTGTTGTCAGCACCTTAATGTGTGCCGGTATGGCACGGTTCCGGTGTGTTGGGTGCTCCAAAATTGGACTCAATTCAACAATTAGATCCAGGAGCAAGGCTCTAGGGAGTCTAAAACGGCTTATTAGCCATTCATCATCGTGAGCCAGGAAATCTTCCCGATCTTGGAACACCCTCTCCAGCCGGATCCGTCCATTGATGTGGTCTTCGAGTAGCGCAAGTGCATCCATTGTGCTGCATTGTGTACAACTGTCACTGTATGGCTTTTTATACGCGTGCTCTCCATCAACTAATTCTTCTCACCTTGCTCCAATTGTCTCCAAAAAGTGGGTAAGCAAGGTGTGGAGTTAGCTTAAAGTTGCGCACATTCCTACACTAGTTTTTTTTTTTATAAATCCTAACTCTTGCGTAAGAAGTGGCGTAAGAACTTCCAAGCCAGGTTTTGTGCGTAGGCAAGCTTTATAAATGTGTTAAGGGTTCATTTTTTACAGTGTAACGTCTTACTTTACTGAGTGGATCAAATAAAGGAAACAGACCAATCCTGTTTACTTCTTCAGCAGCACTGAATCAGTCTGATCAGATAGGATTATTTTCACAGGAGTTATATTATCTGTCTTTAGTAAATTGATCAGATTCACAGAATTTCAAAATCACATTAGTGTGTCCAAGAGAAGTTTTATTTTGACTGGATATTAAAGGACAGAGGCAGAGAGCAGCTCACAGGAAGAGCTCAGTGCACAGAAAGCTGATAAACTTTGCAGTTTTGCCTTTTTAAATTAATTACATTTGATTATACTCACCGCAGATAGATAGACTAGCGCTCCGAAGCTGAGATGGAGCGTCTGTAGTTTGTGTCCTGGCGAGAGATGCTGCCTCCCACCCGGGCGAGGAGGTCCTCGAACTGTGCCGACAACACACGGAAATACAGCTGGAAGCGCCCATCGTCTAGGTGGAGTTCCTGGAGCAAGCGGTGAAATTCCCCCAGCTCCGTCCTCTCCTGGATGGTTTCATGCACCCGAACACGACGGCGGCGCCTGCAGCAGATGTAAAGATATCTTGAACACTTGTCGCACTGAAAACTGAGCTAGTGACGTCATCGGCGACCAGCCGCATCCTGCAACCTCCACGACTGCAGCTTTGGACCCGGTGTGAACACACCAGGGCTCGACTCGATTACAGCGACCAACGCGACTAGGTCGCTTCAGGTCGTGTTTGGTCTGAACGCGACTTTAGAGTTAATTGTGATTTATAAATGGAAACAGGCGTGGGATGTGCGTGTGCACTCTGTTATAAATCTAAAAGTTTTTGTGTGCACAGATTTCGTGTGTTTCCAGCCTATGCCACCTGTAGTGATCTTTCCTACACGCAGTTTTATAAATAAGGCAAGTCAGGCCTACCCATGTGTGCACTCCAGCCAGCTCAGGCAGATTTCAAACTGAACCGGCCCAAAGACTCATGTTATCTGGGGAATCACTCTAAAATACCATTAGCTGTATTGAATTTTTTGGAAATTCAATGGAGAAAAAAAAACGTTACTAAGTAGGAATATGTACTCATCAGGCTTTCATGTTCTCATCACATCATAAAGTATAAATAAAAAAAATACAACCACATCAGTTTCTATCCCTTGCATTCCATTCTATTAAAAGTGATATAGTAAAGTTTTAATATGTTTCTCTGTAAAATTGCTCCCCTCTATAGATGGGTTTCTGTGCAATGTCATCTCAGGTATGCGCGCGCAGCCAGGGGGCAGAAAGCGGGACATTTTTTATTTGTTTACTAGTGGAGTCATCGGAGAAAGAAAATGACAAGGAGCTATTGTGCTGTAAACTGCAGGAATCTGCAAAAGGATGGATGGAAACTGTTTGACATCCCAAGGGGATCTCATCCTTTTACCAAGAGTAGGAAAAGATTGTGGCTTCAGGCCATTGAAATAGCTGATTAGGGTCCTGAAGGTCCTAATTGCAGCAAGAGTCTGTGCAGCGTACAGCGTAGATCCCTGTGCACTTACACTCAGGCATCATAAGGTTTTGCCTTTACTTCCTGTCTCTGACTGGGCAGGACACCTGGGGCTCTATTTTCGTGTACGCCCTCGAGGTGGCGGAGGGCGGCGAGCCCCGCGCAGTTGTATTTTCGTCTGGCGCAGCCCGGCGTACAGCCAGTTTGGTATTTTCGTGGACTGAGGCGCACGGAGGCGAACCGAGATCCGCCAAGCTGGGTGTGGTGGCGTGGCAGGGGGAGGTTTCGACAGAATCAGCGGGCGCAGTGACATTTTCGTGCTCGCCACTGGCATGTAAAGTGCGCTGAAAGCTCGCCGATTCAAACCTGGTCAGGCGGAACGCAGCTGGTCTAGTAGTATTTTGGTAGACCGGCGGCGTATCGGCATACGACGCCTCACCGGCAGGTTTCAGTGTCAGGCACATTTCAGTGCAATAAATAATCATCAACAACTATTAATCTGAGTCAGCACATAAATTTAGATCTATATAGATATATTCTGATCTATATCTGATCTGATGAGCGCGTTTGGCTAGCGTTTGGATTCACAACCTGACCGAATTAACACAGCTGAAACCGCATTAAATTAAATTAAATATCTAGTAAATAAACACACATGATGAAGTTTTACAATTTTACATATTGTTACAGATGGAGGTAGTCTGTGACCTCCAGCACACCTAACGAGCATCTCACTCAGCTCACCTGTCCTCATTGCACTCAGCTGGTGCTCATCAGCCTGGGTAGTCTATAAAGGGAGGTTCTTTCACTTAGTTAGGTGTGCTACACCAAAGATGCCAACACCTTCAGTTGGCTTCTCTTGGTTTGTTTGTGTGTGTGCGTGCGTGCGTGCGTGCGTGCGTGCGTGCGTGCGTGCGTGTGCGTGTGCGCGTGCGCGTGCGGGTGCGTAAGGAGGGTAAATTCTCGAGTTTTTGTGAGGTTTTGATCTATGAAGAAATGTTTTATTTCTTAGTGTTTTCTCCCCACTGATTCTACTTCTGTTTGAGGCCTTTTTACTTTGGTTTGCCTACTTTTGGGCAAAATTAGTGGGTGGCTGTGAGGAAGCATAACTCCACTCCATCTTTCAGAACCCAAAGGCCTTATTTTTTGTTTTGTTTGAAGGTGCAGATTTTTCTTTTGTTACTTTCCCTGTCCGTGACCCCTGTCCTTCAAGTCATGCGACTTGCAGAAACATAACATTATGATCTTCATCATTTCCTACATTAGTTTATACACTTCGAAATTCAGAAATTTATATGACAATTAACACAAACTGTACTCACTATGAGTCAATTAAATGACTAAATGGAAAAACAAAGAAACAAGTTAAATAAATTTTAAATAAAGAAAATAAAAATAAATGTTAAATAAATACATTAAAAAAAGAAAAAAAAACAGCATATAGCATCCACAGCAATTTATAATGGTAAACTGTTTCCATCCCTTACATTCACATACTCACATACACCAAATTCAGCGCCCAAAGCAGCAGCTCACAGACACCCACTATATGATTGATTTTGGAGAGTCCTTTACCCATTCCTTTCTAATATTAACCCCCTGGCCTTCCAGAGATTAAGTAACATTTTTTTTTTTGGTAATCACATTTTCCCAGTTTATTCTTGCTGCTTCCTTTTTCATTTTTCCCAAGATAAACACCA